AACACAAGAAAGATCTTTGAGAAATTTAGGGTAGATAGCTCTTGGTTACTTGACCAAACTTGCAAAATAATCCTTGCCATTTTTCAAAACACACATAACACAACTTCAAAACAAAACTTTCAAAGACATTGAAACATCTTTTCAAAAAGACAAACACCCTTGTAAAACATTCAAACAAGAATTGTTACAATGGTTGCCTAGACAAGGCATCTTTTTCAAAACATTTTCAAAAACCACACACAAAGCATCATTTCAAACAATTGAAAAGCAAAGGCAAGTGATCTAAGCAAGTAACTAAGAGCCCATGGATAACCATGGATAGAAAGGGTGCTAATACCTTCCCTTTCTATAATCTACTCCCCGAACCCAAGAAAACATCTCAAAGGTTTTTCCTGTGCTTTTTGACCTTTCCTTAGGATAAATAAAAAGTCGGTGGCGACTCTTGCTAAACCGAACATTTGCAAACACAAACGCAAACCTCAAGCTCAAGTCAGTTCTCCCACCGTATCACAACATGTTTAAGGAAATTGTCGGGTCTATTTAGGATTAGAGCAATGTTGTAATCCCTTGATAAGAAAACATTTTGTAAAGAGTGTTTTTGAGTAATTTGGTTCCTTCCAACTTTCCATGAATTTATACATACCATGATCTTCTGGGACTAAGTTCGTTTCCTCAAAAGTTTATGTTATTTGAGAGTTATTAAAATAAGGGATACAATCTTACAGACAAAAATGTTGATAACAATTCACTAAAATTTTAGGTGTTGGAATTTATTCAGAATCAGACCTTTTTTTAAGTATGCGTATAAAATTATAATGAAAAATGTCTACTCGGAAGTACTTCATTCCAATTGGAAGCATAACTAGACAATCATATGACATGTATTGTATGGAAGTATAATCAGACAAGCATATGACAGTTATTGCCTCAAGGAAAACCACAATATTGTATCTCAAAATATGAGGTACTTCATTCCAATTGGAATGGCAAAAAATGAGGTGTTATAGTAAATAATATTAAAATCATTCTCATCATCTCAATATTATAAATTTAGGGACTTACATATATATTGCATAACAAGTGGCAACAACGACTCCAAAATATAAAATGTCAAGAAAATTAACTTCGCAAATATTTCCTATAAGTCTTTAAGAGATGTGAATCATTGTGAATAGTAAATACGGAAGTATATTTCATATATACTACATAAGTATATAATGCATAAATAGTGACAACAATGACTTCAAAACATAGAAGTAATTGGACCATTTGTGTTCATGTAATTCCATGTTGAGTATAAGAAGTGGTAAGTGTGTTGTAAGAGACTAGTATTCTTTGAGGCATTTTGTTGAACACCTTGTGTGCATGAATGAAGTTGTTGTGGAACTTTGGCGGTGACAGGAAAGAAATTGAGTTTGAATGTTAAAAATTGAGTTTATGTTTCAGTAATTTAAAGGAGATTACAGACCCTCATAATCTGAATTTTTTTTTTGCAGTCCAACATACTATTGACTTTAAGTGATGTGGCATCAAACGTGGCGTGCGACGTCAACTTCCATTAACCCAAACATATGAAAGAGACTAAAATTGTGGACGGAAAATTTTAAAAGGACCATTATTTGAGGAAATTTTTTTAAGGACTAAAATTGAAAGATGAGTTATTCATGGGGACGGAAAATATATTTAACCCTTTATTTTATTTATAAAAAAAGCCTTGTTTTTTTTTCTTGTACGAGAATTAGAAAGTCTCTCTCCTAGTCTCTTATTTCAGCAAAGTTTCTTCCCCCTTCATCGACAATGTGGTCACGTTTGTTATGTCTCTTGGTTTGTTCTCGTTCATTGTCATAAATCAATCCTTCGTTATGTAAGTATTTTCTTGTATGTTTTACTTGGATGCTTCCTTGTATATTCTCTTGTATGTTCTTTTGTGTAAAAGTGATGTGTCATTGTTCAATCAAGTCCACTGATCCCGATCCCCATGTATCAATTTGCATGTGACAAAATGGTTTATAAGATTTATGATTTATTATAAAAAATGTTTTAGTCTACTTCGAAATAATGCATTGCTCACACGAAATCTTGCTACAATTTTTACTAATTAATTAATTAATTAATTATCAATGATAATTATAAGGAACCTACGTATAAATGTTGTAAGGAAAGCTAGGGTGATTGGACAACTTTGATGATAAATACATAAAAACACCTAAATTCATAATGTGCTTTGACATAAGGCTAGAATAGTTTGAGTAGAGGTATAGTTTTAAATTGTGGCCGCGAGGGTGGTTGCAATTACAAATATTGTGATTGCAATGAAACTTTAAAGCATCTCAAGATACTGATGAAGGTGATGGTGATGATATTGGTGGTGATGATTTTACTGTAACTTTGAATGTTTGAAGTCTTTAACATATATCTATTTTGTGATTTTTTTTTGCTTTATGTAGTAGCCACTAGACAATTAAGAAGAAGTTAGTACTTTAAGTCTTTAACTACATACTATACTATTTTATTTGTTTTATTATAGAGTTTTTTGTTAAGAAATTTATTATGGAGTATGTGATTTTAATTTTGATTTTAATTAGTATTCTATTATATATATTTATGTCCTGTATAAGATATTTACAGGTTTAAAATATAGGTGTGTGTCATATATGTGTCACTTACAGGTATTTTAAAATTTTCCATAGACTCACACGAGTTTGTGAGTCGAGTCTACGGATTCTTTACGAATCTGAGTAGACTCGCGAGTTTGACAACCTTTATCACCATTATGGACTTTGACTTTCATGTGTAAGAATTGGAAGTGCTTGAGTTTAATGTCAATAGTGATTATGTTTAGATTCCATGCCATAAAAATTCCTCCAGAGTAACCTCTATTTTTAGAGTAATCAAAACTGCTAAACCCCAACTTTTGCATCTTTTTTCACATCTTTTCTAGACCTGGTCTAGTTTCAAGGATAATAAACATGTCAGGTTTATGCATACATATGTAGTTCTGGCTCACCCATAATAAATATTTACTCATTGCTCCCTTACAATTCCATATGAAAATATTATATTGGTCATTGATAATGGCATAACGTGTTGCTATAATCGACCCCTTAGAGTTGACTAGGAGTCTCAATAACAACTTCCATTTCCAAATCATTGTATTTAGTTATTTCATTTTGTCTTCCAACATATACATCTGCTTTCCTTCTGGCATAGAGAACTACTTCGTTAGGGTAATCGGTGGAGGTTGACAAACATGGTCGCTAGTAATTTTGTTAATTGTCACCTCTTTCTATGTATTTTTGTGTTTCGCTTCTTAGGCTCTGAGAGTTTTAGGTCCCATTTTCTCAAGGTTGTGGTTCTGACCAATAGTGATTTCAATGATGTTCTCTTCTCTGTTGGTCATAATCTTTAAACACAACCCCTTAACGAGAGTTGCCACTTGAATGTCTTCCATGAGTTTCTCTATATTGTGCTTGGCTTCACGATAGATGCTTCGGTTGCCTTCGTTCTTTGCTATTCCACGAGATGATATTTCCACTCTCCGTTGAGATGTCACTTTCATGCCTTTCCTTTTATTACTATTCTCTGAGATTTCCATGTGTTCCACATCTGTAGGTGTCCTTAGTTCTCACATTAGACTAGATTCAAATGTGAAATTAGCCTGGATTATTTTTGAAATTAGCCTTCTTCTTTCCTACCTAATTGTTTCCCTTCAAAGGGTTATCATCTATGATAACATTTAGGGCTTCAAATCTCGATCATCCTTTGTCTTGTAGAATATTTTCCTCATTTTTGTTAACTAATTGATTGCTTCCATTCTCCATCTCGATACCACTGTGGGTTCCCTTCAACTTATTCCTGCGAGTTCTTTTTGGTTTGTGGACTGTTTTCCATGGACTTCTCGTGTGTTTCTCTGGCTCTTCATTCTCCATTCCTTTTCCTTTATCTGCCCATTTTCCATGATTTCAACTTCCCTAGTCCCACAAGTTTTTGCATAGTGGCCATATCTATCGCAAGTGAGACAGAGTAAATGCAAACCTTCATACTCAATTTTATAATGTTTCCCCTTGATAGAGAAGATGTCTAGTAACATCTTGAACATGATAATATGAATGCATAACCTGACATATTTTCCACGAACTCTGGTGATGGTGGTCTTATCAATCTTTATTGTTTTGCCAACTATGTTCCCTATGCAGGTTATCACCCGAGCATCCTAGTACTCTATAAGAAGGCTAGTGATTCTCACCAAGTCGACTTCTTCTTCATTCTTTTGTAGATCTTTCTCTATGAATTCATCAGTGACCGCATTCTTGTAAGATCAAGTTGCAATAGGGCCTGAAGGGGCATTACCCATCAATTTGGCTTCTTCTTGGCTTAACTCAGAGACATCTTAATATTTCACTTCTTTCGTGTTTCTTTCCATTAAGTCTTCTTCTTGGGAGTAAAGGAAGAAATTTATCGAATCACGGAGAAACAAATAGGGGAGGTGAAGGTCGACACATAAGGCGATCGAGTTTCTATCGAAATGGTCTCTAATCCGAAAATTAAGAGTTTAAACTACAATAATAAAACTCTGATCCGACGAAATTCATAAATCCTAGCAGAGCTTTTCCCAATTCTATTTTTATTTTTTAAGTCAAATTATAATTTTATTTTAATAATTTATGAATTATGTATATTTGATAAATATTTTATTATGGTACTATGACAGGTAAAATAGTCCAATAAAAATGAGCTAAAATATAAAATAGTAGGCACGTGCCAAAAGAAGATGTATTGTTAAACGGTGTTGGCAATGGTGTGCCAGACCCGTCAATCCGATGACTCATAACGGAGTCTGAATATTCCTCATTTTGTTAACGCTCCTTTTCTCATCTCACCGTCGACGACTTTTCCTTGGTGTTCTTCCTCAAAACCCACAGATCTGCGGCGAAAACCACCCTTCCTGATTGATCTAGCTCTTCGGCGGTGAAATTGGAAGTTGATACACTGGATCGGAGATGCCGGTGGCTGCTTCCGCTGTTTACTTCTTGAATCTCCGCGGAGACGTTCTCATCAATCGTCTTTATCGCGACGATGTTGGGTAAAATATCTTCCCTCTCTGATCTCAGTAGAGATCTTAGTGATGAAATGAAATGAACAGTCTCAATTTTCGCCTATGACCTAATTTATGTCCTATTCTTCATTTCTGAGCTCGGATTCTGTAAAATAATCCATGCTTATTTGTGTATTAGGTGTTAGATTGTATTGGTTGCTTATAGGAAAACTGTTGAGAATGTTTTGATTGAAGTATTATGTTATGTTATCACATCACGGTTTCAATTTTAGAACAATTTTTGTGGCAGCTTTGCTCAACATTTTAGTGTAATGCAGTTAGTACAGTTATAATGAGTTTTTTTCTTCTTCTTTCTTTTATAATATTAATGCCTCCTTGAGAAACCCTGGAACTTGGTGATTGAGTTGTTAGAGGTTAAATTATGATTCTGTATGGTGCTTGATTGTATATTGTAATTGGTTTTTCAGGGGAAATATGGTTGATGCTTTTCGGACGCATATAATGCAAACAAAAGAGCTTGGTACCTGTCCCGTGAAGCAGATTGGTGGCTGTTCTTTCTTTTACATGAGGATAAGCAATGTCTACATTGTGATTGTTGTCAGCACCAATGCTAATGTAGCTTGTGCTTTCAAGTTTGTAGTGGAGGTATTTAAACTCTGTTTTTCATTGCCCTTTATTAGATGTTTGGCTTTGTCCATTGAACTATGACGACTTGTCTGTCTCTAGAGACAAAGGCTTTGAGGTCTTTGTTTCTTGTGCATACATGACTTTCTTTGAGCATCTTATTCTTGATGCTTGATTATGATTAACATTTACATGCGATTATATAAATGGTTGTTGTATGTCTTTTTTTCTTTGCAGGCTGTTGCATTGTTCAAATCATATTTTGGTGGCGCCTTTGACGAGGATGCTATTCGCAACAATTTTGTACTCATTTACGAGCTTCTAGATGGTATGTAATCTGCATGTTGATGAATTAAATTCCTTCAATGTTCAATTTTGATATTGTTCTGTTATGCCCACTACTTCTGATAGTCAATGAAAGGGTTTTAGTTAATAATTCCGGTAGTTAGAAGGATACGTTTTTTTTAAATGAATTGAAGAGTTAGTGAGTTACTTATGTGAATATGTGAAAGTGATGGATCCTGTGGACCCAGTATAGCCGCTAATATTAACAGCCAAGTAGTGCAGCACTTAAGCTATTGCCATAAGATCGGTAAGATGCATTCTATATAAGGGGAAAATAGGGACGAGTGGAGGAAAAATAACGGGAGAGACGTGGTTATGCCAGTGGCAATTGAGTGGGTGCTGGAAAGTGTATAATGGCAGACAGTCATGAATAGAAGATTGGGTATTTTGGAATCATGGGAGTATGCCTTGGGCATGGGTAGTAAGTTAGGCATCCAGTTGCTAGTTCTCGTGAATTTGCCCTGGTAATTGGTAGTAAGTTAGTGTTCAGTAGGTACTTCTCATTTACACTGTATTAGTTACAATTCCTTGCTATTGAGCATCAAACATTATTCGTTTTCCTTAGTAGTAAAATCAATCATTCTCATTGGGGTGATTTCTTTTCTAGTTTGCATCAATAAGTGGGTACCTACCTATACGAGGAGGGTGATGGAAGAGCATTTCAGTGCCTTACAAAATTTATGATTTCAAGTTCCTTGAAATATGAAATATAATACAAGTGTGACACCATTTGCCACTTTTAAAAGGCCTACCGTTTTCTCTCTTTCAATAAAAACAATTATAAAAAACAATTATGACATGGTTTATAAATTTTGTAGTTGACAGAAACTTTGAGCTAACAAAGCTTGAGATAAACTACAGTTTTTGTTGCCACTTGCAATTCTCATTCCTGTTGCAAACTCTAAATTATATCAATAATAATTGTTTGACCAAAATGATAGTCATAATTCCATCATCTCTAGAGAATTTAATGGAAACTACCTTGGTTAAAATAGATAAGGTTTAAATATGTTTTTGGTCCTTGCGAACGTAACACCTTTTGTTTTTAGTCCTTTTAAAAATATTTATTTGCTTTTAGTCTTTGCAAATGTACTACTTTTTTGCTTATGGTCCTTGTTTTGTTTTTGTCCCTAAAATATTTGCTTACATTGAAATTGATCCCTAGAATGTGCCGATAATTTGATTTTAGTCCCTCAACTATGAACTACCTAATAAATAAAATGAATGTTACACACATATTACCGAGACCAATTTCAACAAGAACAAATTTTACATGGACTAAAATAAAACAAGGAACAAAAGCAAAAAAGCAATATATTTGCAAGGAATAAAGAATAAAAACCAAGTCTTATCCCACTAAATGGGGCTTGATATGGACTAAACCAAACTATAATGTTCTAGTATAATCATATCACTATCCAACTCATTGATCTATAAATATTTTTAAATAGTTTTTCTTAGAGTTTTTTCAAGTCTTCCTTTGCCTCTAGTAATTTGACTACCCTCTATCTGATCTATTCTCTTTGCCACAAAATTTACAGGTCTTCTCTCTCTATATGCCCAAACAACCTAAACCGAGTTTCCACCATAGTTTTTAACTTTTTATGATGTGTTATCCCAACTCTCTAACGATGTCAGTTCTAATCCTATTCCGTATAGTCTTACCACACATTCAATGTAATATCTTCATCTTTGATACGCTTATTTTATTTTCGCGTTGGTTATTTTCCGCACAATGCTCTATTATTCCATACAATATTTACAGTTGTATGACAAATTTTCCTCCAGCTTGAGCGGTACTTTTGCATTCAATGGCTTACATCCTTTTTATTTCTTCGCCGTTTGTACTATGGACCCAAGATATTTAACCACATAACTTATGGTATGATATGATCTCCAACTCTGACATCCAAGCTAAATATTTTTGGCTTTTTGCTAAAATTGCATTCCATAAGCTCTGTCTTGCTTCTACTCGGGCAAAAGCCATACGCTTCGAAGATTTGTCTCCAAGTCTCCAACCTCCCATTTAGTTCTTCCCTCAACTCTCCAAGTATTACTATAGCATCTAGAAAAAAGTACGCATCTCAATACTGGCTCTTGAATGTGTTTCGTAAGTATGTCCAAAAAGATAAGGGCTTATAGTTGACCATCTAGGACCTTCCACAAAATCTTTCTAAGCACTCTATCACACGCCGTTGTAAGTTGATTGCTCCATGGTCGACCTCCCAGGCATAAAACCAAATTGATTATCAGTAACTTGAGTCTCTTTTCTTAGTCACCGTTCGATTACTTTTTCTCATAATTTCATGATATGACTCATAAGTTTAATCACTCTATAGTTAGCGCAATTTTTTTATATCTTGTTTTTTGTAAATCGTAATTGAAGTGCTTCTTCTTCACTTGTCCAACATTTCCTTTGACATTCTCATGAAAAAACTGTGAGCCACCCAATGTTTCTATCTTCAAGATTTGTCCATACCACCCAATGTTTCTTTTACCCCGTGTTCTCGAAAATGGCAGCAGAGGATAGAATTTCGGTCTTCCTCTCTAATGTTTAACCTGTTAAGAGTCTTGATAGAATCTCACATCCTTCGGTTAGTAGGTTGTGGAAATAATTTCTTCCTACTATCCTCTACAAAAAACAAAAAAAATGTATAGGGACTAAAAGCAAAAAATGGTATATTTGCAGGGACGAACAACATATTTAAGCCAATAGATTATAACCCAAGGAACGGCAAAGGAAGGGGCTGGTGTTTCACGCATTTGTATTTGAATCTGCTGCAGTGCTTTTGCTTCATAACTGTATAAGGTGTTTTTGTGCATCTATCTATTTTGCAAACAGGTTTAATAGCTTTGTATAACTATTAAAGACGATGCATTGATCTTGATTGTGACAAAATATTTATCATTTGAATCATTGGATGGGTTAGTGATAAGTATTTACAAGTACTTGCAGAAATCATGGACTTTGGTTATCCACAAAACCTTTCACCGGAGATCTTAAAGCTTTATATCACCCAGGAAGGAGTCCGATCCCCGTTTTCATCTAAGGTTAGTTTGCACATGCTATTGTAAATACCTTGAAGCTAGAACATGGTAGCAGATGCGATAGGACACAATCATGTTCAGGATTCATGATTTATTTTTTGAAAAAAGGGAATCTTGTCGAATAAAATATATATTGATTGTTATGTACTAAATTTCAAATAATATGCAAAAGAAATTTTCTCTCTGCAATTCTTTTTTTTGGGAGAGGAGACAGCCACTAATACCTGTTCGAAATGTGTCTCAAGTTCATTGTGTATACCTCTCAATTTTCTCTTTGTTTTATTGTTGACGTTGCCCAATATGTTTGGTCTATTGGATATTCCATAAGATCCTTAATTTCATTTTTTGATGTGTGCATTGATTGGGGGCAACAGGCATCAGAGAGACCTGTTCCAAATGCGACGTTACAAGTTACCGGTGCTGTTGGTTGGCGAAGAGAAGGCCTTGTATACAAAAAGAATGAGGTGGATTTTAGACCATCTGACATCTATTTTTTATGATTATTTCCATTCTATTTCAAGTTTACAACATTGCATATTTCAGGTCTTCTTAGATATTGTGGAGAGTGTGAATCTTCTTATGTCGTCAAAAGGTGAGTTATGATCATGATCTTTGATTGTATGTTGCTGTTTGCTAGATTGCCTGCTAATTGTTTTATGGTTTTAGGCGTTGTTCTGCGCTGTGATGTAACGGGGAAGATTCTTATGAAGTGCTTTCTTTCTGGAATGCCTGATTTGAAGTTGGGTTTGAATGACAAGATTGGCCTTGAGAAAGAGTCGCAACTTAAGTCACGTCCTACTAAAAGGTAGTTATCATTTGGAATTGATTTCCCCTCATTTTCCTTTCAATGATAATTTCCAATTTTCCATTTTTCCAATATGGTCCTTTTAGTGTGTTGTATTGGGAAGATATTAGACCCCCCTGTTTTCTTTAATATTCTGATAGTATTGTTTTTTATTATCAACGAAATTTGTTTTGTAGTGGAAAAACTATCGAGCTTGATGATGTCACTTTCCATCAATGTGTAAATTTGACGAGGTTCAATTCGGAAAAGACTGTTAGTTTTGTGCCTCCAGATGGTGAATTTGAACTAATGAAGTAAGTTGATGCACATGTTGATTCTTGTTTTTCAAATTTTAATTTATGAACCTATACCAAAATTGTCACATGCATGTTTGGTGGGAAAGGGGGGAGGTGGGTAGAACCGTAGAAGGGCTTGGAATTCAATCCCTCTTCCCTTTAAACCATTTCGTAATATTGTAGTAACTATTTCAAAGCCTGTCTCTCTGGGCTCTTAGGGTTTTTTTCGTCATCATTAAAAAAACTGTTATCTCTTCTCTTTTCATCTCACTCTCTGTCTTCGTCATCTTCCCCCTAGAATTCTAAATTTGCATTTCTTTATAAAAGCAGTAACAAATGTATTCTCCGGTGCAATGAAGTTGACATATAGTGCCACCAAGGCTAACAATATAATGAAAGTTTGCAAATCTGTAGTTCAATTATAACTATTAGATAAATAGATGAAAACTGTGAGATAACTCCCATTATTAGGGGGACAGATCCTCTCAATTTTTTCCATCATGTTTCGAAATCTCCACATTTGAAACTCATTTTTTTTCTAAATCCTTTCTCTCCCTTTCAATGGACAAAGGATGAAGATAATTATGTTATTTTCTCTTGGGTTTTAAGTAACGGCCACATGGCTTACCTTTTAACTGAACATCTTTGAAAGGGAAACTGTGCAAGCAAATCATAACTTAAAGTCTAACACTGCATATGAAATTTTAAAATCGTAAAGGACCTATCTCGAAAATAGGTCAATCTTAAAGGACCACATGCGTGATTTTGCCTATATGCTATCATGCTGTTCACATTTTCCTCGACTCATAGTCCCATTTTATTTAGAAATTTGCTTATTCATCCTCTGACCTTGAAAACTATACATCAAACCATTAATAAAGGATTTTGATTTCAGTAGATTTTCATTAGACATGGTTTGTGAAAGGATATTTTGGCGTCAATTGATTCATGTACTCGTTGTCACTGAATTGGAAAAAGCTTCTATTGTTGTTATGCTCCCTAACTAACTCTTCTTTAATATATCCTAACACCTTTGTCGTTAGATTATTTTCTTTCTTTGATAGTGTTTTTAGCATTGAAGTGACAGTAACCTCCCTCTTGAGAGAGTGATAGCATGAAATTTAAAAGAAATCTACTTTACCAATTTGCTTCACTTGGTTTTACAAAATTCACAAGTAACATAGGATCAACTGAATTCCTAATGGTGCCGGGTTTTTGGCTAAAACAATTTTATTTGTTAGGTATCGCATCACTGAGGGTGTTAATCTTCCCTTCAAAGTATTGCCAACCATCAAGGAACTTGGTAGAACACGGATGGAAGTAAATGTTAAGGTTTGAAGATTTTAATGTTGGACATCAAATTTAATGGAGGTTAAATATCATCCATTGGTTCCTTAGTATTTATTTTTAACACGTTTTTTCAGGTAAAGAGTGTCTTTGGTGCAAAGATGTTTGCATTAGGAGTCGTTATCAAAATTCCCGTGCCAAAACAAACAGCTAAAACGAGTTTCACAGTCACATCTGGTCGAGCAAAATATAATGCAGCTATTGATTGTTTGGTTTGGAAGTACGTGTCTCACTTTACTTTGATTTTTTTGTTGAAATCGGCTTTTTTATACCGCTACTTTGGTATTTAGTATCTTCCTTTTGATATATAGCTGTTCCAACATTGAATATCAATGTTTTGCAGAATAAGAAAATTTCCTGGGCAAACTGAGCCAACTCTGAGTGCAGAAATTGAACTTATCTCCACAATGACTGAAAAGAAATCATGGACTAGACCACCAATTCAGATGGAGTTTCAGGTTTGTTATGAGTTACTTCAACAGACATGAAATTCTGGATTAGGACCTGTGTATTCATTATTTGATTTTCATATACTATGTTTTAGTTTACACCGACAGACACGGTTTGCAAAATATGCACTTCTTCAACTACATCTTGATGAAAACTTAGGTTTGTATGCACTTATTTAACTACATTTTGTGTCATGCAGGTTCCTATGTTCACAGCATCTGGTTTACGAGTCCGATTTCTTAAGGTATCTGTCATATGCTCTTTACTATTTTTTTTATTTCACATCTTTTTGTAACTCCATGGTTTGATCTATAATTTACTCTCTGTCTGAAGGTGTGGGAAAAGAGTGGCTACAACACTGTTGAGTGGGTTCGATATATTACAAAAGCAGGATCATACGAGATTAGGTGCTAGGCAAATTTGGATTGCTGGTTTCAATCGTGAGGGATTATTAATTGGTGGAGATCGATGCAGTTTCATAGTTAAAGATGCATAGTTTTTTTTTTTTCATTCATTATATTTTGCGTGTGAACTGATTCCAAAGCCAGTTGGAAACATGAAATGATTCTCTATCTCCCATGTATACATTGTATTTTAATGATAATGTTTATTGAGTGATGCATTCTGTAATTTTTATGTCACATTTCATGTTGTGTTGATATATACTTACTCTATTATATTACTAATGATAATACAGTCTTGAGTGCATTTTTATATTTAATATGGCGAGAGATTGCTTCAACAATATTTATATACATCGATAGTAATTTTTCTACACACCCATCTAAATAAAATAATTTATATACGATTTTTCAAAATTAATTTATAAAAATTTTGTAGGTACAATTTAATTCATAGCCGCAAAGTTATTTGATATATTGTTATTATGTGCATAAAAACTAATTTCCAAATTTATCCTCTTTTTCTTTTTTATCAGTCATGTTGATTTTTTGAATTTTTTTTTTGTAATAATTAGGTTTTGAAATTTTTTTCCGCAAACTGCATCTTGACACGGTCGTTGCACCCGGTCGTTGTGGTGCATCCAAACAGTGGATAAAATTAAATCAGCTTAATAAAAATGTAATAAATAAATAATTTAAAAGTAGAAAAGTTTAAATGTATGACATACATCATTCGGGCCAAGGTGATCCAATAGATTGCGATATAGAGCGACATTGAATCTTGGATTCTTGCCGTAATTCATACCCATCACGCAGTACCAAAAGAAATTGTAAAATAGTTAACTTTTATCATATATTTGGTTGTAAAATAGTTAACTTTTATCATATATTTGGTGAACAGATGAATAATAAATGATATTAGTTATTGACTTACTTTGTTGCGTATGAAAAAATGAATGTGTTGTTGTTGACGGGGTTTATGGACTCTATTCTCCACCAACCCCATGCTTGAAGTAAGAAAGCGCATCAATAAAAAATATAGGTTGCATTTTTACACAAGGAATTGTATAGATGAACTAAAACAGCAGAACCCCAACTATACTTTCTAATTTTTTCAAAGTTTCGAAGTAAATTTAAATACATGAAATTTACACTATTCCCCGTACTTTCGGGAAATAAAAAAGTATCATTATATAATTTATGACTTTTATTACTTTAGCTAGCTCAGGAATTTTCGTTCAACTCCAGAGTCGCGTAATAATTTTTCAGTTTAGTAAGTAGTATACCTTGGCCTCTAGCACCACCACCTTCAACCATATCCTTGCCCAATAATTCCTCACATACAGAATTGGGCTGTTGAACCGACCCGTTAACCGCCTTACCTTCGACAGGGAGATCCAATAACATGTACACGTCCTCTAGTGTGACGATACATTCACCTATTGGTAGATGAAATGTGTGTGTCTCGGGTCTCCACCTTTCCAACATTGCAAGTATAAACTTTGAATCAATCATGCAGTTGGAGATCTTTATAATATTTCCGAAACCTACATATTCGAGATATGGCACGATCAACGGGTCATGAGCGATGTAGTTGTGTGACCGAATTCTGAATTTTTTAGTATCCTAAATTCAAAATGTAAAAAGTGTAAGAGTCCATAAGATGTGTAAATCATTAATAATATTATAAAAAAATTATAAGTATATAAGAAAATTTGAGAATTTATAAAAACTTACAAACGCTGCAATATTGTCCCTTGTGCCTCTGTGAGAATCGCCCATTGTGAGAAGAGCCATAATTGAAATTGTATGAGATAATGAAAGAGTTTGTAGAAGAGAGTGAGATGATTGTTGATGTAAAACAAGCATGTGAGGCTATGTATTTATAGGCAAAATATTATCACGGAGTGAATAAATGAGGTGGATGGTGGGTGCATGCATGCATGATAAGTGTCACTCTTGCAGTGTAGGTGCAGGCTAGGTGGCAGCCTTGGGGAAGGAATCTCTGCATGCATGTAATACGATTGGACATGTAGAGAGGCGCCATTTGACTTGGCAAATGAGTACAAAATTGAAAGGTGTCGCTATCCCAGTTGGCAAATTAGAGGTGGCATGGGTTGTAGTGTAGGTGCAGGCTAGGTGGCAGCCTTGAAAAAGACATCTCTGCATGCATGTAATACGATTGGACATGTAGGGAGGCTCCGTTTGACTTGGCGAATGAGTAAAAAATTGAAAGGTGACGCCATCCCAGTTGGCGAATTAGAGGTGACATGGGTTGCAGTGTAGGTGCAGGCTAGGTGGAAGCCTTGGGGAAGGCATCTCCGTATGCATGTAATACGACTGGACATGTAGGGAGGCGCCATTTGACTTGGTGAATGAGTATAAAATTGAAAGGTGTCGCCATCCCAGTTGGCGAATTAGAGGTGACATGGGTTGTAGTGTAGGTGCAGGCTAGGTGGTCACCTTAGGGAAGGCATCTCTGCATGCATGTAATACGATTGGACATGTAGGGAGGCGTCATTTGACTTGGCAAATGAGTACAAAATTGAAAGATGTCTCCATCCCAGTTGGCGAATTAGAGGTGGCATGGGTTGCAGTGTAGGTGCATGCTAGTTGATAGCCTTGGGGAAGGAATCTCTGCATGCATGTAATACGATTGGACATCCCAGTTGGCGAATTAGAGGTTGCTTACTGTTGTTTTATTCATATTTAGTATAAACTATTTTATCCTACATTTATCAAAACACTTCTACTCTCAATCACTCAAACACTCGAACATTCAAAAAATCAAACAATCAACTCAAAGACTCAAACACTCAACACTTAAACCTTCAAACACTCAAACCTCCAAACCTTCAAACATTCAAACACAATGGCCTCTGCACCACAATATATGATCAGTGCACATTTCAACGGTGAGACGTACATTTGTCACACCTATAAGTTTTTGTTTAGAGACACTGAGAACATCCGATTTTGTTTAAACAGGAAAGCCAATTTCTTGTATTTCAAAAAACGATTGGAGGCCAAACTTGGACGAGGTCCCGTGACACAAATCTTTTATCAGAATCTGTTTTTTTTGTGACAATCAAATAATATTTTATAAGGTTGAAGTTCAAGATGATGAGGACCTTCAGAATATGTTTTCCAGTCATGAGTATTCTGGGTACGACTCTATTGAGTTGTACATTATGCTGCGAGAGCCTCAACTGTCACAAGTGGTTGATCCTCTCGAGGACGAACAAGCAGAAGTAGATGTCGTTGACGACGAAGAAGAAGATGACGAGTTAGAGTTTGACGACATGGTCAACGATGATTCTGAAGACGAAGGGATACCTGGTATACCTCTGAACGAGATCTACACACCACCTCCACACATGACAAACTTCAATATGGGCGGAGATGAACCGTCATCTGATTTATTTTTTAATTCGTATATGCAGTCGGATGAAAACTTAAAAGAGAAAGACAAATTTCGTAATAGAGAAGATTGTATCCGAGCCATAAAAAGTTTCACATGCTCAACTTGGTCGATTTTAAGGTAGATCGTGTAAATCCAGAAAGGTACAAGCTCAGGTGTGCCCACCCAGATTGTATGTTCAAGCTCACTGCATCATACAAATTAAGAGGTGATTGTTGGGTCATAGGTTCTATGTCCATCCACACGTGCGTCAATTCTACTCAATCACAGGATCATCGGAAACTAAATTATGATCTCATATGTCAAGAAATCCTACCTCTCGTCAGCAATGATCCATCATTGAAGGTGAAAACCATAATATCTCACATCACCACGGTATGTAATTATACTCCGTCATACCGAAAGACGTAGTTAGCAAAGACCAAGGCGATTGAAAAGGTATATGGAAACTGAGAGGAGTCATACAAAGAACTTCCTCGCTACCTGAATGCACTTCAGACTTATTCTCCGGATACTGTTTATATTATGGAAACACTACCGGCGTACGCCCCAGATGGTACTCAAGTCACCAGAAATGGAATATTCAGTCGAGTGTTCTGGGATTTTCAACCTTGTGTCACATGGTTTGCGTCATGCAAACCTATTATTCAAATTGATGGGACTTGGTTGTATGGGAAATACAAAGGCACGCTACTGATGGAAGTTGCACAAGATGGCAACAACAACATTTCCCAATTGCCTTTGCTATAGTCGAGGGAGAGACTAGTGATGCTTGGAGTTTCTTTCTCAAAAATCTCCGAACACACGTGACTCCTCAACAAAATCTATGTTTGATCTCCGATAGACATGCATCTATTGAGAGTGCATACAACAATCCTGCAAACGGTTGACATGTCCCTCCTTATACGCATGTCTATTGCATTAGACACATCGTCCAAAATTTCACGAGGGAGATCAAAGACAAAGCTCTTAGGAAAGTGATTATGAACGCAGGGTATGCATTAACACAACCTACGTTCAAACACTATCGCAGCGAGATCAGATTGTCAAATCTAGATGCAGGTAGGTGGATCGATAATATTCCGGTGGAGAAATGGACTAGGTCATACGATATTGGCCAACAATGGGGCCACATGAAAACAAATCTGATTGAATCCATGAACGGGGTATTCAAAGGTATACGAAACCTCCCAGTATCTGCTTTGGTTAAATCAACATATTTTAGGATGACTTCGTTGTTTGCCAAAAGAGGTGAAATATGGAATGCTGTCTTGCAATCAGGACAACTATGGAGTGAAAGCTGCATGAAGTATATTAAGGCAGAAAATGCTAAAGCCAACACCCATCTGGTTATACGGTTCGACCGACACAGCCACAACTTCATTGTCAAAGAGACAATCGACCACAAAGAGTATAAGATTATACTACCTTCTCGTTGGTGCGATTGTGGCAGGTTTCAAGCCTTTCGTATTCCTTGCTCTCATGTCATTACGGCATGTGCCTATACTCATCAAAACGCATTACAACTTCTATCTCCCATTTACAAGTATGAAACCTTGATCAACGTATACAACAACAACTTCCCATTGGTA